GCAATTTTACATGTCCACCACATATGGTAAAACGACCCTTCTTGTTGGTTACATTTCCAACGAATGGTGGAGATTGTCCCATACATCTTTGATAGGCTTTGGGGTGTCATATAGCATTGATACAACATTTTATAAAGATTTTCTTTCAAATTATAACATAAAGTAAATTTTAATCCTTTAGACCACATATTTTCCCATTGCTGCATATGTATATTATGTCCAATATTTTTTGCCCATTTAACAATGTGTTTTATCTTGATCATTTCAACCTGAAAATGGTTGTTTTGGATATTCCAAGTATGAAGCAACATATTTTCTGTTTCATGCGTATCTTCTAAACAAATCATTTTGAAACTGAATACATATATATATAGTGAAGTTTTTTTTTTAATTTATTGGACACAAAGAAGAAAAAATTTACAGAGCAAGATTGCACTACTGAACTATTACATAAGATTTTTTAAATGTAAAATACAGAAGAAATAGATGGCAGCTTTAAAAAAATAGCATCCTTTACCAGGTTTTATGACTGTTCCTTTTATCTCTATAAAAGATTATTTAAAAAGACAACGTAGGCGAATTCTAAGATAAATCTTGGATTAGTCAGCTATCTACAAGTGATGCATATCAGCTAGTGAGCCATTATCTCACTGGTATGAAATGGATTTTGTAGCTTTGCTTTCTCAGTCTCTAATCCTCCAGCAAGTAGTTAGGATTAACTACAAGATAGGGGTCTTCATCAAAGCTCTGTCCTTCCATGGAATCTTTTAATCCTGAATGTGTGAGTTCAATTAGAATGTGATCCTGAAACAGAGAATTCTTGGTCAGACCATATTTTAAAAAATCAGAAGTACAGTCACTAAGTAAAATGTCATCAGTTTCACTTAGACTGATTTCCAAGTACCAATTAATATTTTGCTATCTTAGTCTTGCTTGCTCACCACACTATGAATATATCCATTTGTACAACACTGCAATTTTAACAAACAAGAGGTCTGTTTTGCATAAATGATAACAAAAGCATAACATTGCAATTTTATGTATTTCTATTCAGAAGTTAAAAAGACTTTCTATTTTCTAAGTGTGCATAGAATTCCAGTTTATATCTAGGAGTAAATACCAGCTTCTGTACCTTAGCTCAAGAATTTGATCCTTAACTCAGTGGCACACATCCAGTATAAAATGTTTTAAGTGGTTCTTTACATATTTAAATACAAACATCCATACTAATAAAGCTTATTGGTTATTATTTGTATCAAACTTTATGCAAGGAGCTCTGAATAACATTTTGGCTTCAGAGCCCTAGGCCTTTGAGTATATATATATACCTACATAGTGTGTAAGACGATGAATAACTCTTTCTATTACTTTCTTTTTATTGATGAGTTCTTCTTCAGAATCTATTTCAGATTCAATTTCCTTTAGATACCAATTGATAAGCTCACTCTTTTTTAAGGCAGCATCATCATTTTCTGCAATCAGGAGAAAATAATTTTATATACGTTTGTAATAATACATTTGGTAAGCGTATAGTTTTTAGCACATATTTTTATCCATATCTCAGTCAACTTTACAACACCTTGCAAAGACTGATAAAAATGGTGTGCCTCAACCGTTAGCCAGGTTTATGGCTGAAATGAAAACTGTAGCATTTAGTACAAGGTCAGTGGTTGCGTACGTACCGAGCAGATACACACCACAAAAGGAAAACACTCATAGTAGAATGCACTGGAAATAAAGCTTAGGTATAACAACCTGGAACTTCCAGTCATCTGCATTTTGAATGCTGTTTACACAGAATTCAATTCCTTTTCATCTACCTTAACAGCAATGGAGTTTTTTGTTTGAAATATCACAGGCACCCAGAGGTTGGGGTAGAGGTGAATTCTCTTGAACAATGGGACCAGGAGGAATTGACCACCATGTAATTACTCAAACATTCAAAAATGGGCAACTACGCTTATATATCTACAGTATCATGGAGTTTTCCCTATGAAGACAGCAGTTAGTGCAGACTACATAAGGAAGAGATGGTAATTAGAACTTCCAGCTTTGAATAGAGTGCTCGTTTCAAATCTAGAACTATCCAATTTCATTATCCCTGATCAATAACCATATGCATCTGAGAAAAAGTCCATACAATTAGAATATATTTGCTGTGTTTTATCAGAATTTATACTTAAAAGTCTTTATTTCTATCAGAGATCTTCCATTCATTTCCAAAATACTTCAGAGTGTGCTATGATGAATCATTGATGAGATGAAGAGAATTTGCATGTGTTCCAACATCACTTGTCAAATAAGGGACAGATCTTAGAAGTGGGGGATTCCTGGTTCCCTTGAGGCTGATCTGTTCTTACCTTCTTCAGATCTCCTTAGATGCATTACAATGAGGTTAGAGATTCTTTGATATTCAGGGAAACTAAGTCTCAAGGAAGCCTTTGGAGCCACATCTTTACTGGAATCACCTGCATGGTCACTGATGCCATTCACCAAGCCATTAGTAACTACATTGTCTCCATCTCCTAGAAAACAGAAACAGTTTTGTATGCATTAGGCTGGAACTGATAAACCACTGTGAAAGGTATCAGGAAATAAATTGCTTTAAATAGTTTCCTGCTTTATTCACTCAAAATAAACACTAACAAACATAATGACTGTCAGTCAAGTCAAGTAGTTTTCTCCAAAGCTTTTTCCTATCATTCCTTGCAATAGGATGGAATAGTGCCTACATTCTCTGTTTGTTTGGGGGACTGATTTGAGAAGCTGAGGATTCCAAACTCATTCTGGTTTAATCCTCCCACACCCCTTTCTTGAAGCTTTCAAATGGGAAGCTGGTTGTGACAGAATGTAAACCTGATCCTGGGAATGGATGAACGAACCGTAACGGGAGGATTTTTTTAGAAAGACAATTCCGTGCTGTGAAAGAAGAAAGTGTGAGAAAGAAACTTAAAACAACCACAGACTTGATTTTGTTTGATATAAGATGCCGTAGAAAGAAACTCTGATAGGTTTTCAAGATTCTGTTATTATACCCTACCACTATGAAGTGCATTCCTGAAATCACTGCTGTTCCTGTTCCTTGACCTTGCCTACCTCAAAGGGCTGACTTTGGCAAGGCAATATGATTTACATCCTCCTAGACCAGAAGAATTTATTGTCTTTCAGGATGCTTTATCTCATAACTTGTGAATATATGGTTTTATGTGGCCCATCAAGTCCCTTTTTTATGGCCTTGGAATCCCTTCTAACCATGATTGTTGAAAATTGATGGCACAGTCTGTTTTCGTTCTGAGATGGGAAAAAGATGAAACCCGTGGTCAAAATCCTAAAATAGTTAAAAAAAAATAAAGGACACTCCCCTAACATTTCACATATGTGATGTGGCTCCATTCATTTTGTGCACTTCAGTGCCCCTTCAATACTGTGGTATATTCCTTGGGCACAAAAAAGGCATTCTTACCATAACTGTTTAAAAACATTCAGTGGGATTAGGAACAATGGGGGCATTATTTTCCTTCATGAAATGGATTCTTTCCAACAGAAACATTCACTCACGTCTTTCTGCAACTATGCAGGTTTGGAGACATAGTCTTAACTCTAAAGTAAAAATTATGCCAGCTTCGTTAGGTCACTCTATGTTGTTAACTGTTTTTGGCACAATTCTCTCACACCAACTCAGAAGTCAGTCCAACTTTCAATGGAGCTTACTCCTAGGTAAATGAGTAAAGCTCATATAAAGCTCCACAATAAGTCTCTCTTGGCATTTCGTAATAGGTATCATGAGTTAATGAAGATGTATAGAAAAAGTCCAACAAAATCTGTATTCAACTAAAAGCTTTTTGGAAACAAAAA